GCTCCGATGTTTAGCACTAGAGTGGAGGAGGTGTGACCACCAATCAAAACTGACGAGGGTCTATTTGTGAGGTACTCCAATATGCAGTTGCAGAGAGTAGTACTCGAGACCAGAGAGGTAAGTTTTTCAATCAGCTTCTTGGGGGATATTGTGTTGAATGCTGAACTGAAATCAACAAACAGCAGTCTGATGTAGGTGTTGTTATTTTCAAGATGTGTGAGGGCTGAGTGGAGGGCAGTGGAGATGGCATCCTCTGTGGATCTGCTGGCTCTTTATGCAAACTGGTGAGGATCCAGGTTTGCTGTAATGTTGTTTTGGATGTGCTGGAGAACCACTTTCACAATGCATCTCATCAGAATGGTGGTGAGTGCCAAAGGGCGGAGTCATTTAGACTAGACACTGAAGACTTTTTAGGTGCAGTGGCGATGGTGGCTGTTTTAAAGCAGGTGGGAACACTCCCCTTTGACAGTGATATGATAAGAGGATCTGTTATGCTTATTTTTAAGTTCATACTTAAGGTTTCCAGTAGAACATGTTTACATGCTTTAATGGTCAAAAAAAACACTGTCTGTGCTGTAACAACTGTATTCACCCTTTGTCTGAGACATTCCATTTTAGTACCCATCTCTTTAAGCCCCCCTCCCAAAAAGGCCCTGCTCTGATTGGTCAACATTCCCGGGTCTTTCAAGTCTCAGGGTCCCTGTCATTGCAGCCTGAGGGAATGTAATGGAGAAGAGCTGCTCTTTCTACTATTAAAAATCACCAATAAAAGTAAAAACAACCGGACATGTTTCAGCAGGAATATGACCCAAAATCTGGGAGAAATGTGCAACATCAGCAACCAAGTCTACATGTGTCTGATGTCAGCATGTAGTTACATGTTTGTTTGCAGTGTACTTGTAGTTGTACAATGACTCTAACAGAAACAGTTGCACTTTGTAAGGTGAAAAATCACCAATAAAAACTTAAAAACACATCCAGACATGTTCCAGCACGAATATGATCTGAAATCTGGGAGAGATTTCCAAAATTGACAACCGAGATTACGTGTTTTCCTGATGTTAGCATGTAGCTTCATGTGGCAGTGTAGGCTACATGATGCCTGGAGGAGATGAACATACAAAGAAATCTGGTACACTATGACTTCATACTGTAGCCAGAGCAGGAAAAACTGTTGGGAACAGAGTATTCAGAATATTGAAAATCTGAGCTTTTTGCTCACAGGGTTTAATTTCATGTAAGTTTACCTCATTGTTTGAAACTTTTGTCATGTTTGATATGAACATCCTTCATTGTAACACTACATATCGACACAAAATACAGAAAAGCATAATAAGTCCTCTATAGAAATGTCAGTGAGGACATTAACTAGCTACTTGGCACATGTTCTTAGTACACGGCCAGGGCTCAGGCCCAGCAGCTTTACTCATATTCACTCTCATCTGGGTTTTTCTTGCATCCGCTGTGGATACTGACAGTGACCATTCCTCTGGAGGCAGGGCAGACTTGGCAGCTGAGTCTCTGTCAAGGAGATCAAAGCTAGCATATAAGGTTTTAAGCTCATCTGGCAATGTGGTGTCACACATAACAGGGGTACCCCTGCTTTTGTAGCCTGTGATATTCTAGATCACCTGCCACATATCCTTGGTGATCCATATTTGGATGATCCTGGGAGAACCGTTAGTATTTTCAAAGTCCAAATGGTGTCTAATTCTTGTAGGAGAGGCCTATTTGAAATAAACTGCTGTAACTCTTGATCAAATGGAGTAACTGTAAATAAACAATCAAATGTCTTCCTATAGGCAGGTAACCATAATATGATGAATGGTTGTAAATCAGTGATCCTGACTAACTCTCTTTAAGGGTTATCACTCAATTGGATGGGTGTTATTCAAGGGTATCCTGCTACACTTAGTTACTGCATTAGGTATGGGCGCCAAAACTACCTTGTTAGGTTTAGAAAAAAGATCATGGTTTGGATTAAAATAGGGATGTTTATAATGTAATGTTATGTAACATTATGAGCTTACGTACATCAATCTAAATAAGTCAAAGTTGACTTTTTGGTTCCACATGGGACAAGAACAGTAATATGCTGGGTAAAAGTCCCATTTAACCCATTACATTTTCTGTAAGCCACATGTTACATTTGCAGGTTCATATCATATCAAGGTTTCTACAGAGGCATAGTTGCCATCTGGATGGCATGGGCAATGGTGGATGGCGTTACACCTTAGCATGATGCCTGCCAAGCTGAGACCACTGCAGACCACTGTTCAAGACCAAAGAAACAACCAAAACTTACCATAACCTAGTGATTTTTGTGCCTAAACTGAACCACATGTTAGCCATGGGATTGTTAAAACATAAAGTTTCAACGTACATTCAAATGAAATGTGTCTACGATTTGCAGAAACATACAATGCCAACATTTTTTCTGGCGATTGGGTTGAATTTACAGTGTCTCTATTTTATTTGTCCACCAGAGAGCACTAACAATTTTTCCACCGTAATGTCCTGCCCACAACATATCTTGGTCACATCTCTTTAGAAAACCAAATTTAAGAGATCATTTTGATAAATGTTTGTTCATGTTTTGTGTTTATTTAAAAGACTGCTGGTCAAATATCCAAATCTGATTTTTTTTTAAAAAACTCTTAAATATTGATATTGGTACCTCATTAATCCAGTATCATTTGGACTCTAATTTTAACACAGTTCCGGATTTAGATGCAGATAAGAAATTTCAAAATATCATGTTCTGTTATCAATGTTTTCAACACAATGGCAGTAAAATTGTTGGCATTGTACATTTCTGCACACCATGGATACGTTTTATCTACATGTAATGATGTAGCAGACATGTTGAAACTTTTGACAATGCCGTGGTTTAAGTGTGGTTATATTTAGACACAAAAACCACTTGGTTATGGTAAGGAAAGACCATGTTTTGGCTGAAAGTATTTTGGAACAGTACCCACTTTTACAACTACCATTCATGCCACTGTCTCTGCCGGTAAGGCAGCAATGTCCTGATAAAAAACAGTCGCTTCCTGTGCCACCATCTCAGCTGGAAGTACAGTGATGTCTCAGTAAAAAACAATCGCTTTTTGTGCCACCATCCTGGCAGCAAACACAGTGATGTCTCGATAACAAACACCTGTTTTTCATGCCACTATCTCAGCTGGAAATGCATTGTCTTGGTAAGAACAACTGCTTTTTGTGGCACTGTCCCAGGGGGAAACACACTAAGTATCAGTAAAAAACAACCGCTTTTCATGGCACTTGCCTTGTTGGAAAAACGGCGATGAGTCCCCAGTTAACACCCACATTTGGTGCCTAAAAGCCTATGGAAAGACAGCAATGACTCACTAAATCACAACCAGTTTTGTTGGTTGCTGGTCTGGCACAGAGATCTGCAGCTTGGCAGGCATCTTGCCTATGTGACATGCTGTCCACCATCATAATACATATAAAACATACAAATGTAATGTAAGTGCTTTACAGAAATATACACAGCCAACATTTTCATCTGGTGTCTGGGCTTACATTGTGCAGCCTTGGCACAAGTATGCAGTCTCTTATGCAGTGTTTACTGCTATGTTTGCAGTGTTTGTTGCTATGTATCACTGGATTCCCAAGAGATCAATCTCTCAGTGTGTCAATCAAACAATGTGGGCAGCATGGTGACACCATCTTCCTTATTTTTTTTTATTTGGATGAAGTTTGTGTTTCTGTAGGTGGCACTCTTTTTTTTCTTTTCGCCCAAACATGGTGGCTGCAGCACAAGCTCATCACTCTGTTCTTCCTTTTCTGTTTATTCAACACCAAACGGAAACAAAGAAACATCCCTGTCTGTGCACCAGAGGATTCCATTCAAGGAGCGTTTGCAACAGCAAATGTAAAAGCTAGCTGTTATATCATTCAGAGAGGAACGCTTGAAAAAGGTACATTATGATAGCACTGATCATGACATGAACACTGCTTAATGACAAAAAATAGAGCTTGTTTTTCCACACAGCTGTGTATGGCCAAATGATGTTGCCGATGACGACGCTTTTAAATTGCACTGTACAGTATGTGAGTATCCATTGTTGCTCTTTCTTTCTCTGTCTCTCTCACTCTGCCTGCCGCCTCCACAGTGATGCGTGTTGCATTAACGCTGAGGTGAAGAGTGGGAGGTAGAGGGCAAACTGAGAGGGCTACAAGAGGGATGGAGAGAGCCAGAGAAGAAAAGAGTGTGTGGGAGACTGAAACATGGATATGATAGATAGATAGATAGATAGATAGATAGATAGATAGATAGATAGATAGATAGATAGATAGATAGACCCCTCATTCCTCTTCTCCTTCGTTACCTCATTTCTAAAATGTCTGATGGTGATGATTTCCCAAGGGTAACCTACTCAGGTCAAACTAAATCTAGAAGGGAATGAGAGAGGGAGAAGAGAGAAAGATAGAAAGATAGCATTAGAGAGAGATGATGAGTGAGAGATGAGAAAGAGAGAGATGGGATGGAGGAAAAGAGAAAAGAGAAGCAGCTGGAGAGGAGAAGTTGGTCTCTTTGCAGCACCAAAGCTCTTAAAGCCCCGAAGCTGTGTGGAGTGTAAATGGGAGGGGAGAGAGAGAGAGAGAGAGAGAGAGATAGATAGATAGATAGATAGATAGATAGATAGATAGATAGATGGAGGTAGAGAAGGAGAGAGCAAGAGGTAGAGGGAGGCTGAATTGAGGAGAAGAAAAGCTAGAAGGGAGAGAGAGTGAAAGGGAGAAGAGGAGGAGGAGGAGGGTTTGCGTTGGTGTGTTGGTTGGCAGAGAGAGCGCTTGTCAAAAAAACCTTCCTCTGACAGAAGGCATGATTCACAGCGGAGGGAGAGGGAGAGAAAGAGGGGGAGAGAGAGAGGGAGAGAGAGGGAGACAAGCATCAGAAAAAGCGAAAAACGGCAGAGATAGAGAGAGAAACGACAGGGGCAGAGATGCCGGTAAGAAAAACAAAAGAGGATGCTGATTTGAGGCAGAATGACAAGACATTAGCGGGATGGGACTGAGATCGACGGACTGGATTGACTGATGCCTTTTAATGGCTGTGACCATGTTGATAAGGTTCTGGCTTTTCTATTGATCAGGGGAAAATAGAGCAGGTGGCAGCAGCAGTGATGAAAGAGAGAGAGGGAGAGAGGATGCTTAAGAACGAAGGCACGCTGAAAAGACAGGGGTAGAGATAGAGAGACGATTCTCAAGTATCAATAGGCTCCTTTGATAGAGCTTAACTAATTTGTGCGGAAGGCATCACTAATACATGAAAATTAGACAGTTCTGACTCTTTAATATTACATTTTTCTTGAATTTTGGTGTGGGAAGCTTTTTAAGATGTTTTTGGGTATGTGAATGGAGTTTTCGAGCCAATTAATGATTATTCATTCCTCTTTTAACTTTTGTATCCCTCTGAACTGGTTCAAGTGGGATGAAATTAATCGTTGTCGTCCTGAGGTTACCAGATCTTGCAGTATGTGTGGTGGATGCCATGCTTCTGTGGTCAAAATTAGTTTTAAATGCCTTTTTCTTGAGATGTTGATGACTTCCTGTAAGCTAATTTTCAGAGCTAATAATCATACTGTTGTTTTCTCTGACAAAGCTGGAGCTAGCGGGCTAGCTGCTGGAGATGAACCAGTTCAAAGCAGCAACATCAAATCAAAAAATGTTCCCGATGACATGTTGAAAAACTGAGCTTCTGATTTCTCATATTGATAGAGGGAACAGCTTTGAAGGAATGTTGACGTCATCTTGACTTTATTTTTGGCACCAAATTTGCACGGGGCTTTAAGGCTTCTTGGCGCAGGCTGTCGCATTAACATCTCTGCAACTTCAAAATGCTCGCTGAGTTGTTTGAGGTTTTTATCTTTTGCTTTGTTGCCTATGTACATTTTTTTTTATCTTTTTGGTTGTCAGAACTGTTATGTTGGTCTAATGTTCTTAGATATAACGCCAACAAAATTGACATCAGTATTTAGCTTGGTGTTTAGCTCATCCTGAGGAGAAAAAGTTCTACATAAAGTAAATTTGAGGTTTTTATCAATGGTTGTCTCAGCTGTACATTGTTTTCACTCATTAGGTTGGTGGAGTGCCCCTTTAATTGGACATGCAAGAAAATCATGATTGTTAACTAATATCTTATTATGCTAATATCCACTCACTTTGATATTGATGAAGAGAATTTTTTCAAGCTGTTTTCTGTTAAAATCTTTTGTTGTTTGCTTTGTTTTCTACAGACAGACGATGGTAATCAGCAAAAACAGCCAAAATGAATGGAGAAGTTCCGACTGGATTCAGTCCTGCATCTGCTGTGCTTGGCCTTTCTGTCGCTTTGTGTCTGACTGACTAACGCTCCACTGGATAAAGACTTAATTGACTCTGAACAGACAACCAGAACAATAAACAACAGGAATAAAGACAAATGCGGACATGTTGGGAAGAGAAGAGGAGAAAAGATGAGCTAAGATCAGTGCCCCTGTGGACAAAAAAACTGGACATATTTTGTCTTGTATTCTAATATTTTTCTTCAAAATCTTGTTGGAATATTTCACAAAGTAGGATTCTATCAGCAATTTCATTTGGATGTTATCTTGTTCACATTGTTTTCATATCATGGAGCTTTTGACAAGCTGATTTTTTTTTGCAGCAATGCCGTACTTTGATGACAAGATTGCTCTGACCTGTCATTGAAACGGAGGGAATATGCTTCAGTATTTTATCATAAAAGAAGAAGCAAAAATGTTGAATTTGCCATTTTTTTGTTTCTTTTATTTCACCATGGCCTTCTCAAAGCCAGCTGCCATGCATTTTGCACATTCTGAAATTGATTTTGCAAGCAAAATTTTTCAGAGTTAGTTTAATAAACAAATTCACAATTCACCCTTCAAGCTTCAAACGTGCCTCCTCCCAACCCCTCCCACCGTCAGCCATCCGACCAATCATGGGCAAGCCTCTTAGCCGTCCCGGGTGTTTCAGGAAGAGCTCCTGCTGCCTGGAGAAGCATGGAGCTGGGGATGGGGGAATGGGAGGACGAGGTGGGGGAGTGGATGGGGGATACGGAGACGGCTACGTACCCCAGCGATCCATCTACGATACAATGTGCATCAATCAACAGATTGACAGTCATCACCATCACTCTGGAGGGTCCATAAGGCGAGACGGTGGAGGTGAGGGGAGTTTTAGCTACTCTGCAAGAGGCTCCCTGAGGGTTAGCAGGTCTCCAGCTGACATGTTTGATTCGCAGCCCCGCTCTCTAACTCCGAACCCCTCGTTTGTTCGGCGACTGGATGAAAGAGCCATCTATGATTCATTGAAGCTTGGGGGGCAGGATGGTGATGGTAGCGGCTGCCATTCCCCAGGATGTTTTAATCGATCAGTTTCTCCCTCTGTGTCATCATTCTCAGCACCAGGAGTGTCCTCCTCCTCATCCAAGAAACATCACCATCACCCACACCATCACCATGGAGACAGTACAAAGAGCAGAGATGGCCGACATTCCTGGAAAGTCTTGACACCTCCAAAACACCTGGAGTGTTTGGAGCTTACTACAACCGAAATGATGGAGAGAGGAGGGGGGTATCTTAACCCTGGGCACTACCCTCCCCAGGGGGGCCAGTCCTCCTCCCTTACCTCTCCTCTCATTTCCCCCTTCTCTGGCTCACCTCTCTCCTCAGGCTACCATACTCCGGTCTTTTTCTCCCCTGCCAAACCTCGCCCCAGTCAGTCTCAGAGTCTGCGTTGTTCCCCTCCCCACGTCATCCAGCCGAGGCATTACTCCCAAACCCAGAGCCTCAGGATGTCACCACCTCATGAGCTTAGACGATCCCCCTACCGTGCCCCACTGGTCCAACTGTCCGCTCATGACCTCGAGCAGGACATGAGGGATCGAGGAGGAGGATGGGGCCGGAGTGAGCGAGAAAGGGAGTGGGAGAGGGAGAGAGAAAGGGAGATGGAGCGAGGGTGGGCCCAGCGAGAATGGGAAAGAGAGAGGGAGAGAGGGAGGTTGGAGAGGGAGAGGGCGAGAGAGAGGGAGAGGAGGGAGACATCAACTTTTGGAACCTTTGGGTATGGTAGACCAGTTCCTCTGCGTTCAGACCGAGACTCAGTGTTTTTAGAATCCGACCATGTTCTAGACACCACGCCCCTGTTGCTCCCTCAGCCCTCACCTTCACCCTCCCCCAGTGCTGCCCCCAGGATGGGCACAGGTGCTGTGGGTAGGAATAGAGCTGGGTCAAAGGTTGGCCCCGAAGGTGTAGGTGGGGGTATGGTTTCAAAGTTTGACAATGGAGGTGTGGGACTGGTGTTAGTTGACAGCAAAACTGGGTGTGGGCCAACTTTTGTAGGTGAAGTTGGAAACATGTCTGAGGCTGAAATCAGGGCTGGAATACAAGAACTCCATAGGGCTGAAAGTTGGAACAAATATCACAATGGATCCAGGGCTAGCATTAAAAATGGGTCTGAAACAAGAATGGGCTCTCAGGTGAAAACACGACCAGGGGGACGGGATCTAGAAGGAAAAGTGCAGTCTGGGGTGGAGATAGAACATATGGCTCCAGCTGTGAACAAGGAGGGACACAGGGGAGGGTCAAGAAGTGGAGAAAAAAGTGGAAGGGCTAAACCAGAACCTATTACTGAGACTGTAACTTCGACTGTGACTGACAATGACAACAGGGTTGGGCTTGAGGATAAAGTTGAGATTGGAGATGGACCTCCTCCAGAGATGAAGCCAGAGATCGAGGCAGGGATTGAGGCTAAATCTAGTTCAAAGCAGGTGGAAAACAAGACTGTAACAGAAGCTGGAGATGGAGCTACAGTTAACAATGAGGTTTGCTTGGTTGAAGAGTCCAGAGTAGAAGCTAAAGTTGAGACAGAGGTTAAGACTGCACCTACGTCTGAGCCTGAGCCAGTACTAGAAGCTGAGGTTAGTAATGAGACAGTGACTAAAATTAACACTGAGACTGGGGTTGTCAGCGAAACCCAGAACAGCAACAACACTACAGATAAAGCTCAGATAAGTGTTGTGGCTGGGGATAAAACTGATACTGCCCTTGCAGATCAGGCTGATAAAAAGCCTTTAGACATCGATAAAATTGTATTCAGCCATGTAGAGAAAAGTTCCAGGTCCCACAAGTCCAAATCATCCAAGTCCAGTTCCAGGACTCGACCTGGCACGGCCACAGGGCTCAGACCAGGTGTGGTCAGTCCTCGACTTAGCAGAGGACTTGGAGACCTTGAGTCAACAGGCCCCGCTGAGGGCATTGAGTCCACCTGGCCTCGCCGAATCATTGTTAGGAAGAGGACTGTTCGACAGGGTGGGGCACTCCACAACCTCCCTATTCTCCCCCCACTCCCCTCTGTCCTCTCAGCATTGGAAAAGAGACGCCCACATGCCCACCTCGACCCCCGTCAAGGCCACTACTCAGAGAACCCGCTAACAACCATTATGAATTCTACAAGTATTGTGGGACGATGCTCACTTAAAGAGCCCTCCCATGCAGATCCAGGACTGGGGACCGGTTTGGTGGGCAGGGCTTCCCTGAAGGAGCAAAACTTGGAGCACTGGAGAGTCTGCAGAGAGCAGGAGGAACCCAGGAGATCCAGGAGCAAGGAGAAACAAGGAGAGCAGAGTAAGGAGAAGACGGAGGAGAAGAAGGGGAAGGAAGAGAAGCGAGATAAAGTGCGTAGAGAAGAGAAAGACAAAAGAGAGGAGAATGTGATTAAGGAGAATGAGAGAGTTATTGTCAGTGAGGGTCTGGTAGAGGAAACCAAACGAGAAAAGTCAGAGAGAAGGGTTGAAGGGAAAACGCAAGAAGATGGAAACATAAAGGAAGATGTGAAAAAGGAAAGGAGTGTAGAAATAAACTATGAAAAAGTAGAGGATAGAGGAATGAAGATAAAAGATGGAATACAGGAGCAGCATGGACAAGAGATGGAGGAGGTGGTGGCTAAATCAAAGAAAGAAGAAGATGAAGTGGAGGGAGGAGAAGGAGGCACATTTGGAGAGGAAGGCGGGATAGAGAGTTGGGATGCTGTCCTTGACATGGTCAACACGTTGTGGGAGGATGGCTGGGAGAAAGGGGGAGCAGGAGGAGGTGGTGATACCGATTCCCTCTCGGGCTCCCTGCAACGTTGGCCTCTTCTCCGGCCCCCAGTTGGCTTTGGGGGCTCACACCCACCCTCCTCGGCAGCCTCAGAGCTCAGCCTGACAGAGCTGGAAAGGAGAGCCAGGGAGCTGGACTCTGACCTGGAGCATCTAGACCTGTCTCAGCCCCACAGGGACACCCAGGATGTATACCAATCACTGCTGGAGCCGCAGAGGGAACGAGCAGACATGTACCAAACACACCCTGGGCCACAGAGAGAGAAAGCTGCAGTCATGACAGGTAGACATTATTTGGATTTTGTATATTTTTGTTTTCATTCTTCTCGCAGTATTTCATTTAGGTTAATGGAAAACTATTAATCTTACCTTCAAAGTTCACTTTATTTGACATGGAAACTACTGTATTGGAAAAGCTTTGTCCTGATTATGTCATAGTGATGTCATCAGGGTTATCTTGGCTTCACTTTGAGACTTCAAACTAGGAAACAGAGAGCTTGCCCTACACACTAAAAGCATGGCGTTCGAAAGCAGTGGGCTTTTACCATGCGAGGAGGGCCTGAGAAAAGATGCTATTGGTTGCATTACAGAACATGTAGGAACCTGTGATTTTTAGAGTTTGACCAGTGCCGTACCGTGACACGTGAGATCACAGAAACCTGAATCTCTAAAACTTGATAAATATAGTGTGCTATTACTGTTTTGTCCATTTAAAAACAACAATACAAGCTTGACTTTAGAACATGAAAAAAATCTGTAACTTGCAAGTGCATTGTGTCTCATCATTGCAATCCAGTTTTTAGTCTGTCTCGCCTCTCCTGTCTCCCTTAGAAGTCTTTCTAAATATAATGACATATTTCAGTGGTCTCGTTTCCCTGGACACACAGCTCAATCTCACTATGCACGTAATTTTATGCAGGGATCACAAAAGGAAAATATGAGTCTAATAAAGACACAATACCTTTGATATGAATTCCATAAAATTAAATGGGTATATTAAAATACTTTTCAATAACACCTTGGCTTTCTCAGATAGTTTATAGATCATCTCAGCCTTAAGATACTTTTCAGTAAGGCCAAGGCCAACACTCTGACCAGTTTGCTACAGTAGTTCACCTGCTTATGGCTCACATTCTGAACTGAGACCTACAGTATCTGTCAGAGGTCTTTACCAAGTGCAAAGGTTGAGTTAAATTGTTTGTAGTGTGGTAAATATAACAGTCAGTCTGTTGCCTGGGTCCAGACCTCTGAATCAATTTGAGTTTACCGATTCATCTGGCATAGTAACGAACAGCAGTTTCTCTTCACATTAAAGAAAATGGCCACTTTAGAATGAAAATACAGACAGTACTTACTGACCCTCATGCTTACAAGAAGTCCAGTGTAGTTTTTTAATCCACAAAACTTGTTCGGGTTATCGGAGGATAACAGCTAGCTGGAATAACAGCTACACTTGAAGTGCATGGAACCCACATTTTGAAAATGTAATAAAACTCAGCTAATGTATTTCAAAAACTTCAGAACGGCTCCTCCGTCATAATCCAAGTGCCCTGAAGCTGCGGCATGCAAAATTGACTTGCAAAGACGTAATTTACTCCATTTGTATGGCATCATTTCTCACCATGGTCAGTTAGCCTGCCCTGCAGGGGTGCTGTGTTTACATGGCAACTCTCGCAAGACTAGAGAACTAGCACCACCACTAGCCATCAGCTAGTCTTGCGCGAGTTGCCGTGTAAACACAGCACGTCTTTGTGTCCAGTCACTCAGTCTTGTGATTTAACGGGATTGGAAGCATAATTCTGAGATTGTTCTGTGAATAGTTTCTTAATAAATAATATGTATAGCAACTTCTGATCAATCCATATTAATTTCAGGATTAAAATAACAACGTTTGATTAGGGCCCCATCCATTTGTTCACTTTAGGTCACATCCACATCTTGTTTAAACTCCACCCGAGTACAGAGATGGATAAATTACTAGCTTGAGCAGATACAGATAATGGTGTACTCACTCATCCCTAGTTTCTTATCTGTGAAATAAAAGTAAATAAAAGTTTTGTTTCAACTGATGGAAATGGTTTTCAGATTATCAACAAAAACAGGAGGTCTGTGTTGCTGCGACATGTAGTTACATTTCTGGAGAGGTGCTCATCAGGCTAGAGCATAGGACACAGCATAGGGTACACGTAATCACAGAGTCTGCGTTGTAGGTACAGCGTTGATTCAATGTATAAACCCTGCTTAAAGGGCCAGTGTGTAATATTTGGCATGGTTTATTGTCAAATCTGAATCTGAATCTGAATATTCTACCCATTAATATGTTTATACAAGTGTATAATCGCTATAAAATAAAATTCATTTGGTTTTTGTAGCCTTAAAGTTATGCTTTTATATATATATATATAGCAAGGGCCTTGCTTTAGAGAGGTCGCCATCTTGCACCGCCATGTATGTACGGCAGACCTAGCGGACAATCCAGCCAGCCAGAGAATGAGTTTCGCGTGTATAAATAAACCAACGAAGATAGCGGAAGGAAGGAAGAAGGAGGAGGAAACAGCAGAGTGATTAGTAGTAGTTCGTCGATAGAGAGTAGTGAAAAGTTTTTTTAGTTATAAAGTTTGCGAATGGACCACACTTACCACGCAACAGGAGAGAATGAACCCGAACCGTCATCTGCGAGGAAAAGAAGACGCAACTTCACTCCTTGTGATGCACTCTCTGCGGCGCTTTTCCTCCTGATGATATATCTCCCCAACGATGGCAGCAGTAGCACCGAATCCCATTCTGTGCATTCAGCCTCTCTTCTCACCCGCTCAGCATCAAACACATGGAGTTCCTCATCTGTGTGCTCCGGTTCAAACAGGTATGGCTCTGGGTCTGTGTCCGCTACAAGAAACTCTTCAAAATCGCGTTCAAAGTCGTCCATTGCAGCTACTATAGTCCAGAGATATTGCTAGGCTAAATAAACAGCTGAGCTCTGTTTACCGGCTCCGCTGTCAGTCAGTGTGCGGGCTGGAGATTGGCGGAGCAGAGAGGGGAGGGGGTGCCCGCTAGGTATCATAAACGAGAATGTGTGTATGGAGTGTGTGTGTTACGCTAGAAGAGTCAGAGTTTGGGACGGAGTCTTTTACCCCCTGGAGTGTTACCAGAGTTTTTGGAGTGCTCAAATAAACAGGCCTTTTTCCCGAACGCTCCTCTGGTCTCCTGCACGTGAGGGATTCATTACAATATCGTAACATGGTTTAGATTTCTAAATAAACATTCACTTCGTCGCTATATAGACCTACTCCTGAAAAACTCATGTCTGCGCAAGGCTTTTTGTCCCTACGAGGCCACCGTCATTTACCTGACGGGAGGGGTGAGTGAATGAGCCCTGCAATCTAGAATTTGACCACTGATGTCACTGTTTTCAACCCATTTTACACACTGGCCCTTTAATAACAACAAGACAGACAAGATAGATGCTGCTATTGAGGCTGTTCTAAATTGCCATCACTTCTCAGTATCCCCTGACATCGTAGTTTGTTTTGACTTTGCTCCACTCTTAAAACCCCAGTAAAACAGACATGTTGGCATGGCTACACATCAGTGTGAACTTAAAATGATGTTTGATTCAGGCAGATATGTTGGTCTCTAGTGACTGTTTAGGGAAAATCAAATCCCCCTCCCTCGTGGAAATCACTTAGGGTAGACACAATGTCAGACTGAAGATGGAAACAAAGTGTAATGAGCTGACAGTTCTGTCTGATTTCAGGCAAGTCAGCCAGCTGATGTGGAGTTGATTATCATGTGAATGTAGTATATGTACAACATTGCTGTCTGGCTTCAAGGCTCTGACCTCGTCACTCCCTACATACAAATACTGAGCTCAGCATAGCAGGGAGAGGGGAGGGGAGTTTCAGTGTAACATTAAGGGGATATCTAAAGAGGTTTGGATTTTGGCTTGGTTGTTTGATTGCCATGCATCTGAGGTGTGATGGATTACCAAGACTTGGATTTGTTGGCTTTGGTACTGTAACTGATAAAACTGCCTTCAAAGACAAATGTGTGCATCATTTTCCAATTCTGCAGGAAGGCCTCAGAAAGAACAAATGTTGAAACAGCCAGTAGGTGGTATAAGCACTGACCAATTGGCTGTGATCAAGTATCCAAATGCTTGACAAGAAGGGGGGTGAATGGCGTAATGTTTTGATTATATCTCCCATTTCTCATGTTTAATTGTGTTGAATCTGTTTTGAATTTTTCCAGGTGTGGGGAGCAGATCCCAGGTCAGTTTGGAGCTCAGTGCTATGGCCTCACCAGCTACAGACACAGACAGACATCCTGCTGACTGGTCAACCAAATCGACTGGGACTTCCAATGTTGGCACAAGGTAATGCCACAAAAATGGTTATTGTCAGCACAGACTCTGAACTGTTTTTCACCATACTTTGACATACATCTCGGGACTGAATGTTCATCACACAGGCCAAAACAAAATGCCGGTTTTAATGCAACCAATACAGACTGAATGGTTAGGCAGGGTTATAAATGCCCTAGGCAACAATGCCACTGTAACATCAGTTCAAAGATAATATAGGCAAGAATTTTATTTATCCTAAGGGAAATTGTTGAACAGCACTTTGCAGTGCAAAGTAGGAAAGGGTGCAAATATTCATTCATTCATTTTCCGTTACCGCTTATCCTGTTAGGGGTCGCAGGGGGGCTGTAGCCTATCCCAGCTGACATTGGACGGGAGGCGGGTTACACCCTGGACAGATCTCCAGACTATCGCAGGGCAAATGCAAATATGACAAAAGCAAATCTAAAATATCAATACAGGTGCAAGAATAAAAATATAAGCCATAATTTTGCACCATACAGAGTAAAGTGAATAAAGTGGCGCAACTTGGTATTCGATGGTAGCATTCCCAGTTCAAATTGTCTTCCATTGCATATGCTATTCATTCATATTTACTGTCTTTTTGGGGCAATTTAACAGATGTAATACTTTTATAAGGATATTCAGATATTTTTAAAAATCAATTATTTGGGTGCCAGAGTCATCATATTGACATGGATCATGGTACATGTAACACTTTATGTTCCTGAGAATTTCAAAGCTGCTTTAAACAGCAACAAAAAAAAAACAGTTTGGTTGTCTTTTTTCACTTCTCATTTTCTAACATTTTTATATATAGTAACAGAGCAATCAAATATATCAGAATCCAAATCTGACTTGCAGCTGTATACTGTGCAGTGTAGTGTCAAGATTTCTTGTTGTTTAAAATAGGTAGTGTTTGGATTCTTCACAGAAATAAATGCAAAAGAAATGAACAAAACGTCTTGGGGCTGAGCCACGAGTGATAGAGATAAACAAAATGGTAGTGGCCCAACACTTGAGCTTTGAGGTACACCATGTGTAATCAGTGAATCAGAACAGTAACAGTGAATGAATTTGAGAAGATGATAAACAAACTTGGTAAGCCCTGGAGTTCAGATAGATTCCTAAATCTTACAAATAAAACAGTATAAACAGTAGTAAAAGATTCCTAAAGTCATTTTCAGAATTTGTACATTCTCTACAGTTTCCTTCGGCATTTAGTAATCATTATTGTAGTTTAGTCTAGCTGACTTCTCACTGCAACAATTTAAACACTGCAATCTGAGTCATTTATGTGTACTTGTGAGTAATGTGGTGGGAGAACATTCATACATTTGTTATGATGGACTACCAAATGCATTGTGTTGCTATTTCATTGCTTTTCATCTGTCATTATAATGAACATCTCAGAACAGAGTGTGTGTCCATGGTTTGAGATGAGAACAGACACATTCAGTAGATGTGAGCAGCGCAGTGTTGATAAGCTGAATAGAAAAAGGAGACAAAATCCAAATTTGTGTTGTTTCAGGGTAAAAAAACACTGGATTAGTCCTGTTTATTGGCCATGAAAGGCATTAAAGCCATGAAAGTCTGGCTGTCACTGTAATTCCAATGAAATCATTGAATCAGTTACATTTAGGATAGCCCCAAACTGCCTCCTGCCTAAGTCCACACAGTTCACATTCAAATACGGACTGATTTGACTCTACAGCATTGACTAGTTTTAGAATGTAAACTATGTGGACTTGAGAGGTTCAAATGGTGCTGCACCACAATTTGGGATTTGGGGGCTTTTACTGGCAGGACTGATAATGCATTATGGCTGTAATAAGGTTAATATCTGTTTACCTAATTACTTCATTAAAAGGGAAAGCTTGCTTTTCAAATTTCTTCCTTCTTTTTGCAGTACTAACCCTACGGTGGTTGTAATTATTCTGGGTAACGTTTGTGATCTGGATCATTTTAAAACTCTGGACCATTATAAAAAGGATTCTTATGAAATGAATACAGGTACACATTAGACAGCATATCACACATGTCAGTATGAACTGTAAAAGTCATTTCATTTGATTTGCACCAAATGTAGTAGGTGTGAAAGAAACACTATCAAAGTGCCCTTTCCTGAATCTGGCTTTAGCAGATCATTATAACAATCAACTCATTATTATTATTTGTGTTGTTCCTGGCTAGTGAGGACATAGACCAAACTGTGCTACGTCCTCAGCCAAATTAAAGAGCTGATGTATTCATAATGATGTGTCCATCAACCAAGACATCTGGGCAGGCATTTAAATGAGAGGCATAAAAAAATCAAAAGTGCTCTGTAAGGCTAAGAGACAAAAACAAATCAATGGCCTTCATCTGAAAAAGTAGGTTATAACAAATTTGATGGCATCTGTGGTAACCAATGGTAGAGAGAGAATAATAGAAGTCACAGGAGGCACATGAGGATGTAGCAGTCATTTGACAGCCTTCTCTTTTTTCTAGCTCCACTAAGGAGGACAGCTCTCCAGACTCCAACCTTACGCTGGAGTCCGACTCCAGTGGTGTCTTCCTCTCCTTATCCAATCAGAGCCAGGAAGAAGCCAGCTCTGACAGCGACCAGCCAGTCAGTGGTTCTGACCTAGGCAGCAGCAGCACGTCACTGGAGAAAGACGGGGACGATGGAGGGTTAAAGGAATGGGGGAGGGAGGAGAGTGCAGAGCTCCAGTGGTGCTACCCTTCACTCCTTAACACCTCTATGAATGAAGACATAGAAGGAGATAGTGGAAGAGAGGAAGCAGGGCATGGAAAGATGGAGAGAGATGAAGTGAGAGGCAAAGATGAGAGTGAGAGAAGGGTTGGTAAGATAGGTACAGTCTCAGTCATAAAGACCCAATTCAACCATACACCTATTGACAGCTCCACAACTTTTAATGCCCCACAAAGTGAAGAGTTACCACCCAGGAAAAAAGTGACCCTCATGGGAGGTGACATCCCTCTTCCTCTGTCTCCCTCCAAACAACCAATCAAACACCTCCTAGATCCTAATCAGAAGCCAATCAGAACCTCAGGACTGGACTGTGGTGATATAGATCCCTTTGTCCAATCGGACAGCTTTGTTTACCTTGCCGTGTCTGCAAGACCTGGCTCCCAGGGTGAAGTCACCTCATTGACAGAAGTTCCCACCCCTGGTATAAAACAAGTCAGTGTACCACAACATTTGGATAGCTTGAAAACACACTTGGACCAATCCAATACAGAACAGACTGCCAAGCTGACTCATCTTGCCCCACAAAAACCAGAGGAAGGAGACTTTCTTTGCACTGACAGCTTTGTCTACCTGGCTGCTCCAGCCTGCCTCCTATTGGGCCCTGCAGGAAGTGCACCCTACAGTGGAAGGTACATGTACTTGTTTGTATGTGTGTTTACTCTAGTGCATGTTATTCAGTGAGGGGTCAGAGAAATAACTAAAACAGCTCTCCCTGAAGGATACTGAGAAGGTTCCATTTGAAATATCTGTGATCCCTCCAATGTGTTCTAGGTCTTTAACGAGGTCTCCTCAAAGCTGAATTTGCATAGAATACCTTTACAGGAAGTATCCCAATAAGATACCTAAATGACCTCAACTGGCTTCTTTCCACAAAATGGAACAGCAGTCCAACTCCTTTCCGGTGTCTTAGCTCCTCACACCATCTGCCACTACCCTTTGATAATGAGATCATTGGCTTTGTTTGGTCATTACCCAAAGCTCTTGACTATAGGTGAGGGTTGGAATGTAGATAGAACAGACCATAAAGCTCAGCCGGGGAGGTGAGGGTCCTGGCAAACTTTCAGACATTTCAGGAAGGGCAGATGTGGCTTAGCCCAGGCTGTTTTAAACCAGGAAGCCCAACTGCTGACCTACTGAATTCCATGTCCATACAAAAGCATGCTTTGGTTCTTAACCATCATTCATTTAATTTCCATTATAAACTCATGGAATATTTTAGTGCAAATGTGTGTGTTTCCCCCTTGTTTTTCAGCACTGAAAATAATGCTTTGTCATTTTCAATTACATAAAGATTGCTTGTGTCAGAGTTCAGGTTTCTGCCACATGTTTAAAATAAGTGCTTTAGTACCATTCAATTACATATAAAGAAGAAGATGCTATATTTTGAATTGTTTTAATTAAAGGTTGGTGATTGGCTAGATAAAGAAGTGATATCTTTGGTCACTAGAATTCAGTCTTGTTCACTATTTTAGTCAAATTCTATCTGCTGTGTTTTTTCAGGGAGTCGGACTCAGAGAGTTCAGGATCAGGCCCTGTTGATCTTTCGGTACTGGGCTGTGACTCTGTGGCAGGGGACAGTGACTGGGATTCAGACCTATCAGACTCTGATCCCAGTCGCTCCTCCAGAATCTCTGCTGCTGGTAGCAAATCTTCTGGCGCATCACGGGCTAAGCGGATGCCTGCTGAACCGGGCTGGGACTTGTTCGGAGAAACCACCGAGCCTGAAGTGCTGAGTGAGCTCTTCACAGAACAGGATAAAAACCACAATGGCAAAGCGAGGAAGGTTACCGGGGTCTCCACCAGCCTGGCAGATACATCAGCCATTCCCATGGCGACTCAGCCTGTCACTACATCAGTGCAACGGTCAACAACAGTAGACCCATCGTCAACATCCAAGAGGGTGACATGGCAGTTTAAACCAGCCCAGAGGTCAGTGTGCACGGGAAGCAGGAAGGAGAAGGAAAGGGAGAGGGAATTGGCATCATCATCATCAGTAAGCTTCATGGAACTGGGAGGAGGCGAGACCTATAGACCCTCCCCTTCATCTTCATCTTCTTCATCATCGTCACCATCCTCATCTTCTTCTGGTTGATTTGTGGAGGTAATGGTATTGGAAGAAGTTCTAATTGCCTCTGAAGTTCATTGCCAAAAGGTAGAAAAGATCTTCAACTTGTTCTGTAGATACTCACGGCTGGAACAAGTGCTGATTTTTTGCCTGTAAATTTTGAATTTCGCATCTAGCTGCTGCCATTGCCTTCTTATGACCTTCTAAAGGCTGCATAAAAGACTAGTTAATTGTTGCATTTTCTTAGACTAGCCTTCACAATTCCATATATGTATAATCATTTTAAATTTGAGACAGGGTGAGACTCAGGCTATACAGAAACCTTCAGGTTGAGAGTATGTGGAAATACGGCCACTGATAGAACTCTTAGGTAAGATGTATACAGTGTCATTCCTAATGGGTTTTATCAATAGTCAGATTTTGAAACACAGGGTTGATTTATTCGTTACAGCTTCACATTATTATTTCTCTAAATAAGAAACATGAATAGTTCCATGGGTTTTTTATTCTACTGAATGTACTGTACAGGATAAACACAACTACAAGGTAAATCCACCATAAACATATTCACATATGAGGCATTCTCAATGATTTGGCTTGGTCACCTGTTTTCAAAGTTACTGCAATGTTTCAAATTCAGATACAATAATACAAACAAATGGTTACAGTTGGAGAAAACAATCTGTTGGACTCTATAATTATGTTATCCATTGATAAAGATCTAACAATGTAAATGTGTCTCAGGCCTTATATAAAATTACACTTCCTTCCCCATGCAATGCCTCACTTTAACTCCTGCTCTTACTACTTCAGATATAAATATACTGTACTTTAAAAACTGACTTTTAAAAACTGACAGGTCGAACTTTACAGTGTACAATGTATTTTATAATCACATCCAACTTTACAGTGTATTTAACAGTGTGTCAATGATATATTTTGAAACACTGAGATATCTATAGAGTGATATATATATATATATATATATGTGTGTGTGTATATATATATATATATATATATATATATATATACATACATATATATATGTATGATGAATGTGCAAACATGAACAAATAATGGAAGGATTTAGAAATGACATTTAATTTAAATGTTTTATTTATCACTTAAACTGAAATTGTGAATGTAATAATTGAGCAATATGCTTAGAGATTCATGCTATATTCTATGTTTCGTATGTGGAAAGTGTTGCCTGAGTGATGTGTATAATAATGGCTGAGTTTAAGTTTATTTATACAGCCAAATATTAATTGTTAATGCAGTCTTGAACTCATTTGAGGTTCTATGTGTAACATTTTTAGACATCAATTTAGCATCAGGTAGCGTGGTATAATTGCCAGAAAGAATGAGACCATGGCTGAGATGATTGACAGCCTTTGTCTCACACCAGTCAGCAGCTTCCATTGCCATTCTGAACTTTTTAGTGCTAGTGACTTCATCTCCCATAATCCCCCTTTGCTTCCTGTCTCTCCTCGCCTTTGTGGCATCTTTGGCTTTACTGGCAAGGATAAACTTGTTGGAGATGATTTTTTTTTCCCATTTGCTTCTCACTCCCCTTCACCATTTGTCACAGTGAGAAAATTTGACATTTTTAGCTCTGTTTGCGATAAAAGTGAATCAGTCCATAAGATTTTCCTCCAAATCCATGTCGGTGGCACACAATGTAAAATGCAGCGTGGAGGCTGGTAGAGCTGCCAATCATCCCAGCAGTGGTTTTGTTGTTTAGTAATTATACTAATGTCTCAAAATGAAGGTATGGTAATCATTTTATTGATGTTAAAAATGACACATGTAGCACCTTTAAATGAGAGTACAGTGCTATCAGATTTATTATCCTATTACATATGTGACAAAAGGAATGTGGCAGGTTGACAAATTATTGTCAGTTACACAATAATAATTTTGTTGCAATGTGATGTGGTTATGAAAGGCTGTGTGGGAAGTTATGGCCTGGCAGGCAATTTGCTTTGCAAGCAGGTGTAGTTGTGCTATTTTAAATATACACTTGAATTTCAAATTGGGCAGGGAGAGTGGTAACTGTTTGAATTATGACTAATTCCAAGCCACGTAAATGTGTCTTAGTGTGTGTTTAATGTTGAGGGTGAAGGTGATGGCACTAGAATTTGGAGGGTGAATCTATTGTGGGGATGCTGCAGCCATATTTCTTGATTGCGACTAATGGGGTAAAATGAGAGGGTTTTTTGATTTGATTTTTACGCGAGATCAGGACTGTTGCCTTGTGCAGCTTTTACTGCCATTATGAACACTGAAATGCTCCGCCAGTCCTTATAACTGATGATGCTCTGTGTTAACCAACATGATTTGGTAGGGCCCTAAATGCACCTGTCTGGTTTAGTGATGGATTTATTATTAGTTTTGATTTTATATTTTCTGGCGCTTTCAAGCACAGATTTACAAGCACACCCCTGGAGAAATTATGTGTTTCGCTGGCATGAATCTTTTTCTTTAAAAGCTACAAGATTGTCAGCATATCTTGAGAAATGAATGTTAACCAGGACTGAACTAATGACTGATGGTTTATAATGATCACAGCCTCTGACTTCTTGTAATTTTCTTAGCCATGTACAAATGAATTGAATGTACATCTGTTGATATTGTTACAACACCAAATAGCACTCCAAATCCCCATTGAAAGTCAGCATTTAAAATCATGAAAAATGAGCTGAGAGGTCATTTTGGCATGGCCGGCTTAAATTGTAAGCAGGCCCCTTGGCCACAAATATGTTGTTGGGCCCCTGTTAACCTCTTATGGCAGGAAAACTACACCAGTACACCTGTGCTGTTTTTCCTTTCCAGTTTTTTGTTTGTCTCAGTCTGTGGTAATTTGATTAAACACAAATTTATGCAGGAATATGTATCATATAAACACAATGTTTGTTAAGTACAACTTGCAACGTAGAGCAAGTTACTTGAAAACTACAATCAATTAGTCATTACTCACTAAAATAGTGACTGCATGACTTTACAGTACTAATTACTCAGCAACATAAGTAATAAGTTGCATTAGTCTCTATTTTACTTTTGTTTCTCTGCCCAGCTCAGTCAAAGGTGCCTTTAAACAACTCCAAATCCTCCACAACCATGTTGCATCTTTTGTATTTAATACATGTGGAAAAGAAGGAGACATTTTGGTTTAACAAACCGGCAGGCCTACTATTCAGAGGGACTTACTGACCATCCAACCACTAGCTTAGCCTTAGTGACTGCATACAGTGCCATTAAGTCCCAACCTTGACTGCATGGTTTACACACCCTTTAACTCAACACAAAATAAGGTGATTTCTGAATGTAGGTGTACCTGTAGCTAATGTTAGCAAGGCAGCTAAGAAAATACATCATGTAAATAAGACAACTTTAGAACTACTGGGAATCGTATTTCTCCTCTTTTGGTACAGGCTAACCACTTCCCCACACCTCAAGCTCCTGCGCCAAGCTCGCACATCCGGGAGTACCAAACTGATATAACCATAGATGTACAAAGAGTACTGGATACAGCACTTGAGGCGAGACCCCGTTCATTATGAAAGTTGCTCAGTGGTGCATGACGCCAAAAACATTTAACTGCCATGTATAAAATTACCTGCATGATCAGCACTGCTTCTGAATCATGGGACCCACAGAGCAAGTGCACCAGAGACTAACACCAGCTGAGTCGGCTACTTCCAGTATAGCGCTTTGCTCATTTGAGCGGGGTTAAAATGATTCAATCATGTGGCCCTTATAGATTTTGAAATGTTATCAGACCAAGTACTTCAATTTCTGATAATAAAACAAGTCATTTTGCGGATGTTGTGACACTCAAGGAAACAAATCCACTGATTTACAAATGTCTCTTTCGCAATGTAAGTCTAAGAGAAGAAGTCTTTTTGGGCCCAGTGGCATCACATGACAGGCTCGGACGTTGTAATTCGACTGTTTGGCAACTACAAAAATTGGCTTCAAAGCCTGGTGTATTTCCTTGGGGCCCATATATAACCCACCATCTAGCTATCAAAGTTATGGAGCGTTACTGGGATTACTAAATGTTGCTTTCAACTACTGAATTTCAGATTGTTATCTCTTACACTACTTGTTACTTTTCACATTACTGTAATGTGCTACAGCCCAACACTGATAATTTGGAGGGTATTATTCCACTTATACTATCACCACTTGCCAACAAAATGCTATATATAATATATCAGTTGTTCATTAACTTAAATAACTAGTCCATACCAATTGAGTGCACAGTTGCCCACGTACAGTTTCACATAGATTGACCACATCAGTGAGTAGAAAAACGTGGGACAGACAGAATGACTGACTGACACACTGACAGTTTCCGTGATTATGTACAGCATACCATACCATGACTTAGTCATACCAAAAAGAAAAAAAAGAAAAAAAAAAAGAAAAAAAAACATTGGGCCACAGGGGGAGCCACAGCGATCAGTCACATTTTAGCCATTTTAAAGCATTTTTCTGTTGTTATAGCGCCACCCAGTTGCAAATTAGAGTTAAATTTCTCCAGTCACCTTGAGGCGTCCTGTTCTACATATCTACCAAGTTTAGTAAAAATCAATATGGCGGTTAGGTCTAGATGAGAAATTAGCTCTCTAGCGCCCCCATTTTGTTTGATGGGGTCAATAATGGAGGGGTCCCCTCAGATTATGTGTGGTCATATGCCTACAAAGTTGCGTGGTGATCGGTGAAACCCTTGAGATGTACAAGAGGGAACTTTAGATATTGGTCCCTAGATTATGTTCACTGAGTTTCATGCAGATCGGTCAAACTTCCTAGGAAGAGATCGATTTTAAGTGTTTTTCAAAAAATTCAAAATGGCGGAAAATCTATACAACTGGAAGTTATGGGTTCTTGAGGCAAATTTGTTCCTCATGAGAAGAGGCATCTCTGTGCAAAGTTTCATGTCTCTACGACATACGGGGGATGAGATATGCCCATTCAAAGTTTGCAATTTTAATCAGTTGCTATAGCGCCCCCTGTGCCAAATTTCACATGGATTGACCAAGTCAGTGAGGAGAAAGACGTAGAACAGACAGACACACCCACAGACACACACACAGACAGAGTTTTCGTCCTTACATAGTCGGATAAATCTGGCCTTACTTTTTGTTTTGAATGTTATGAAATATAGTTTCTACACATCAGAAGTACTGCTACTGGTGTTGCTGGGCAATGTTTAGTTAAACAGGAAGAACTACATTTTACAAGGTTGGGTGAAGACTTTTAAAATCCTCACGAGTTCTGTTATTAGGAGAGAATGAAATTTTACTGATTGCCTTAAAGTCTTAAGCAATGCGATTTAAAAGTAGAGAATAGGGCTATCACAAACATTATGTAGCTCTCTCCCTTTAGGGAATGAAAACTTTC